CAAGTTATTGGAAATGATGTCAAAACCAAAGCACATAATCAGCCCTAGTTATGCGTAATGTTACTACAAAAGAAAAAAAAATGTTTAATGCTGCCTAGCCAGGGGTTGTGATGCTAAATCAAGCATGGTTCCAAAGTTGAGTTCACCATAGCCAAATGGTGTCCATATTCCAGCATTTAAGACTCCCAAGTGTAAAGAACCATCGTAGGAACAATAAAGCTAGTTTTCCAGGAGCACTACTGAAGCAAAAACACCTCTGTACAGCGTGGTTTGAGTCAGCCCATCTGAGTGTAGTTTTGTTCCCCCTCATAGGTGCGGGGGGAGGGGGCACGCAATTTTTACTCATGACAAAATACTATGAAGTGATCATTAAACAGTGTAAGGTAACTTGTATGCGCCACAGAAACAACTCAGCTGAAAAATTGTGGTGTTGCTGGACATTTAGCTCAGTTTTATGGATTTTTGTCAGAGTCTGAACCAGAAAATGGCTGCAGGAAGTGAAACAGAAGGCAAAAACCTCCAGAGCAACCAGTGGCTCAGCCCCCTAGCCAATCAGCGGCCAGAATCACGATGCTGGCCTGGCTCAGCCTTGCCAGGTACCTCAATGGAGCAGGGACAAAAAATAGGAGAGAAAGAAGAGGGAAAATACCGAATCGTGCCCATGGGAACCGAGCTGCATTGGTCCAAGTAACTTCAAGTAGTGCTTCTGTAGTTGGAGGCCCTCTAGTAAGACTCTCAGCATTAGCTCCATCCTGGTGTGTGTCCAGCTATCAGCTTTCATCTCTCAGCATAATCAAGGATTGCCCAATCTAACGCACGAGATTCCAGGTGAAAGCCAACTCTGTTAAATGTCAGGCCGTGCAACAGCTGGTGTCTAGTTTAATCATCTAAAACCAATTAAATGTGCCTTTTCTGGTGTGAAAAATAGTCTTAAAGAAATGTACTGCAGAATATTTCTCATTTGTTGACACATTGAGAGCTAAAAAGATTTAAAACAGAGTCACTTGAGAAATGGTGTAAAACAAGAAGTTCTACATTACCTGTCATGTAGTCCGATGGGCATCGCCTCCCCTCTGTGTGCGGGGTGCTCCATACCCTCACCAAAACTACGTCTGAGGCACAAAATACAAGAGAAAACTTTTTGACCACTGGAACCATGTTTGCAAGTGGAAGGTAGTGCTCACAAATACACCCGTTGTTGCGCTATTAGTCCAACTGAATTTTAATGCTCACACATCAAGCACAGCAATGCAGTCTACTGATGCCACACTAAGTTACTGTGGCAGATTTTCTAATCATTTTCTTGAGCCAGTGGGCGCTAAACTGACCTTTTACATGGCGAATGATGGTTATGATGCAATGATAAAACTAAATGGGGTAGAATTTCCATCCAAAAAAGGGGTCAAACAAAGTTCACATCACAAAAGTGTTTTCTGAATGGCAAGAGCACAAAGATAAAGGATTCATATTACATGCAGACCTTGTGATCATGCCACTGCACTTGTGAGGATAACTTTAATACGAGATCAGCTGGTTTGAAAAACAGGAGTGCACAGCAAGGAGAAGGGGAAACTATTCATTTTTTATAACAGTGCCTTAAAACGGACACTAGGGGGAGGTAAAGCAAGCCAAAATTGTCTTGTGTCCCTTTAATTGATGAAAGTGTATTTTATACTGTTAATCTCTAAAAATATCCATCAAAATGTTGTTGAAAATGAATAAAATTATGTCTAGTTGTTGAAAAATAATGGCGGCTTCGTACCATATAACCATAAAATCGGGTCTAAACTGCATAGGGTACGGGTCTAGTGTCTTTGGGGGGATGCCGTGTTTCTTTCTGGCCGGCTCAGGGTCCTACGCATGTCCATGATGTCACACTAGATGATTGGCTGGACGTACGACTTTCGGAATTTCCTTTACCAAATTCGAAAAGAAACACAAATTTAATAACAAAACTGCTAAACTGTTTTCAAATCATATGTGAAAGAACAGAATCAAAATACATAAGCAATATAATTTGGATATGATGTTATCAGCAGGTGCAGTACCCCAAGCAGATCCGGAAACTACAGCACCAGAAAACTACAATCGGCCTTGCATTCCCTACCCTCCAGCAGCAGAAAACTACACACTGCCACTTTAAATAGAGACGTTTAAGTCCCTCATCTATTAAACACACAAATATTATTCATGGTAAAAACTGGTCACTGGCCAAACAAACCCAGATAGATGCAAAGAAAAAAATGGAAATAAAATCCTCAAATAAAATTCTGATTCAGGATCTCAGATACATCCCCTTTCATTTTATTTGTTATAGAGATATATTTATATACTGAGAACCTTTTTGATGGTTCCAAAACAATTTTATGCCAGATCAGATATTGTGCATTTCTCCAAAACCAACAAAGGCTGCTGATGAATAAAGATCCCATTTAGATTTGTTTTTCTAGCGTTTCCATGATGTGTTTACAACACAGGTTCTTAATTTGAGTTAATGAGTCTTTGTGCGAGTTAAGATGTGAAGAAATTAGGGTTAAATGAAACTACTATGATTTAAATAAAGGTTGTTAAATCAGCTGCAACATTTTAAAGATCTTCAACTCGAAAAGTAATGGTCAGTTGATGTAGGTACAGTTATTTGTAAAATATCTTAGAAAACAAATTCAGTGGAGAGGAGTGTTTGCCTCCACGGTGTTGTTCACTGAGCACGAGTCATTTTTAAACTTAAAAGTCTGGCGGCAATTTGTGCAGAAAAACTCACTTTAAATTCTAACTGATGTTTAAGACTCGACGTGGGTGAAAACACTCACTATTCGTTCCTACAGACAACGCTGTCACATCGGGACAGATTTTCTACCCATATTGGCGTCGGTGCCTTTGGAATCAGCTAACTAGCTAAGCTAACTCAAATGTTAACATTTGCTAGCTGAAAATAACGCCTAAAAGCTTGGCTATAAGGAAGTAGTTACTCGGAAATATAATTATCTTGGTTTGTTCGTTAAATTTACAATCACACAAATAACCGGCGTCAAAACACGAGTTAGTTGGTTTAGTTATTAGTTGCTCTGGTTGGTTGATTGATATGCAACAACCAACAGGCATCTGTTGGTGCTGCCATGTCAGTGGCTAACCGGTTCGTTTAACGCGATTTAAATGATGTTCTAACAGCTGTACGTGTCTTTAATGAAGTCTACAAACTTTTAAATCACATATTTATTCCTTACAGTTCAGAAGGAGATGTTCCTAGCGTCCTTGTTTTTCTTCCAAGCCCCACAAATCCACTTAGTCCACTGAAGCCGCCTTCCCAGCTTCCTTTTATCCAATGAGATTGTCGCTTACTGGGCGTAGGGGAACATCGGAACTTTCCATTGGTGGAAAAGTATGGCAATCTTCTTTTATTGGCTAAAAACTTCCGTTATTAAATAAAAGGGTTTAAAGAACAGTGTTCACGGAGGCTGTTGGGCTTGATAATTAGATTTTTTTTCACCAGAAAGTAACTTAAATTTATAGAAAAAGTTGTGGTTTCTTAATTTTAGTTTCAAAATATGCTATTAAAAATTGAGAAATGAGCTACTGTTTACTTTGTCATGCCTGTCAAGTTTTGGCTTTGAAAATGTGGGGGGTCTATCTCTCTCAGGTCATAGGTCAGATCTAGCACAAGTTTGTTTCTGACATGTTTAATCAAACATGTCAGATACAAAACTAGTGGTTATCATCTCAAGACCAATAAATGCATCCAATACACACAGAAACATTTATACTGTTGTGTACATGTTCCTAGGTGAATAATAAAAGACAAACAGTTGTTTAAAGTTAAACCGTGACAATTTATTTCCAAGCCACAGAAAATGATCACAGTTCACAGGATCTTGGGTCAGTCACCGTCTAAGTCCCTGCCAACTTACATCACCTTCAAGGGACTCTTCTGGAGTTCGACTGAAGCCTGTCTCCTGACCCAGGGTTTTATACTGTCACAATCACTAAGGAAAAGTGCAAATGTGGTCTTCTGCCATTGGTCCACTGGTGTCCGTCATTTCTATACGATCACCTCCTTTCCAGTCAATATGCAAAATGTCATGTCAGCACAAACAACATACTTATTTCTATTTATTGCTCTTTTCTAGCTGAGGCACTCGGCCCTAAATGGGGTCGTATAAGTCTTCCAGACCCTTGTGGTTCCTGTTGCTCTTTCTCTTTGTGCACTCTGACCTGGTCCACCATTAATTTATGAAATGCTCTAGTGGTCTTCACTGCTGAGTTCAAGAATGTAACTTCTCATGCAGCTTTATACATGTATTTTGCTTTAACCTTGAGGTGTGATCAAGTTTGCAGGGAGTCTCCACAATTGTGTCTGTGTTGAAGTTATGAGGCTACCAATATTATATTTGTAAAAATATTATTTATAAAATCTAAATAATGTTGTTCCGGATCACATATATATACCCATGGACTGATTCCAGACCATTTTGAGAAAAATGTTTCACAATTTCTTGTCCTGCTGAAAACTCCTGCAAAAGTAAATCAAAAACCGCACTACTCCAGGAAGCTACATTGCAACTGTCATTCACATTTTTCTGGAGTTTTGGAAATAAATTATTAACAAAATTTGGCAGAATAAACAAACCAGAGCTTACTTATAGCATGTGTTCTCAGCTGTTCTTTCCTTTAGATATTGTGTTCTAAACAGATCAGTTCATAATAAAAACAAACAAATTTTCTAATTTATGTACTTAATTTTGTCGCTTGGCCCTCTTGCAGCTCCATAAGACCTGCCCCCTGTTTAATTCAGAATGATAACACAATTACACACAACACCTGCTGCTGCAGATAGACAAAAACACAGCCGAGGGGACAGATTTTCACTGGGCTCCATGCACTCCTGCTGACCTTCACCATGACATGACAGCACAAACTCACAGTCAGTTCTTGTAGTTCTCCAATTGATGCGCTAGAGGGCAGTGTTGAGATAAACACCGCGTTAACAGTGAAGAAGAAGAAGAAGGGCAGCTGTGCCCCGCCCTTTGACCCACCCGTTTACTGTCTATAGACTCATCTCGTTAAGATGTGTTTTTTGTTACTGGGTTTTTTATAACACGGTTCATTGGCTCCGTTAGCTTTACAACTATCCAGAAGATCACTGTAGCCCAACTACGCCTTTTGCCATCTGACTCAATGGCCGACTTTGGGCTGTGAACGAACTAGAAGCGCCGTTTCGTAGCGACAACCAGACTATACTTGTTAGCCCGACTGTTTTGGTTAACTGTTTTGGTTGTAACGTTATGAAGTGACGTTGGACATTAAAAGTCGTTGATTTGAGAGGCTTATGTTAAAATTACGCGGTGACTTTTGATAGGGCCGCGTGCAGCGAGACCGGCGCATATGTAAAACATTTACAAGAATCACAGATTTAGCTTTTACACAGCTGTCTTAACTTGGACTAGCTGGGGAGCTAAACTGTCATTAGCATGGCGTCAGATACGAGTGACACAGAGGAATTCTACGATGCTCCAGAGGACGTTAATTTTACTCCATCTCCTAAAGTGTAAGGATTAATATGCACTTTATTATTGTTGATGTTTTTTAGTTATGTACCACATTAAGCTAATGCCAACGTGTGCTAACTCTGTCTCGACAATTCAGCTTCATGAAACCAGTAGTTGGAATCTGTCTGGTGTTTACTCACACACTTCACTAGCTGTTTATTGTGAGAACAGGGCAAGTCTAGCGGCATAATGATATAACTGAGACTTGGAATCAGTGGGGGTTCATGATCAAGCTCCTTCACAAATATATTGTTTCTCTTTGAAACAACCGTGTGTTTTTAACACTTAAAGCTTTCGCGAGCAGCCATTATGGATGTTTGAAGTCAGCGTGAAGCAGGTGAAGATGTATTTGAACCATAATCCCATAAAACATGGCCTTTAGGATATTAATTATGCTACTAAACTTTAACTTTTACTGCATCATATCTACCAAACAGTCAGCATGACACTGATGAAGCAGCTATAACCAGAAACTTTTAAATAGCAGTTTGCCTGCAAAAAGTGTCTGTGTGGACTCTGTGGAGTCTTGTTTTCAATCCTCAGGTGACAGATTAGTTTATGATGCTTTCTGTTCACTGAGCTTCTCCTAATCTTTAACAACAACTCGGGTTTCTTCTTTTTTTTTAGGTCACCTGCAAAGTTTGTCATTCCTTTACCTCAGGTATGTGCCTTTAAGCTCTATCATTGTTTAATTACGGCAGTACAATGCATTATTGAAGGGTTTCAGATCAGGACATGATATAAATAATCTGAATGGAAAACAAGAAATCGTGGATAATCCTCTAACCAGAAATCTGGGAAGGTTTATGAAAAGGGATGCACTGAAATAACATTTTTGGACCAATATTGACATTGATATCAGTGTTATGACTGATAACTGATATTTGCAGATAGCGATATATACGCTGACATTTAGGCTTCTCAAATCAGGAGATTTTTGTATGGACCGAAAAATTTGCAAGCTGTATTTTTGAATGTCTTGCTTTATTTCTATGAAGTGCAAGCTAGATTTTATGTGTGTGTGTGTGTGTGTGTGTGTGTGTGTGTGTGTGTGTGTGTGTGTGTGTGTGTGTGTGTGTGGTGCGTGTATGTGTGGTGCGTGTATGTGTTTACGTTATTATATGTGTGTGAATGAATGTGTGAATGGATGAATGATACACTGTAGTATAAAGCGCTTCGGAGTCCTCTGACTCTGAAAAGCGCTATGCAAGTGCGGGTTCTGTAACTCTTAAAAAACCAGTAAAAATACTGAAAAACGCTAGCAGCGAAGGGCTTTTCTGATCAGGAAACGGCCGGCAGTGAATGAGTTAAAATATGCCTAAGATCGGCCGATATCAATGTTGATGCAGATATATCGTGCATCTAGTCTTATTAGCATGGGAAATGTGTGTGTGTGTGTGTGTTTTCTGTAGTTCCAATCCAAATTCAAACCATGAACTAATGAAGATGTGGCTTTGCCCAAGGAGAGCAGCTGTATTAAAAAAATCCACACTAATATAATTGTGAAGCAACGTTGCAATAAATGTGAGCTGAAATTCCTGCATAGTGATGCGACGCTAATAGCGTCATGCAGAAGAAGAGCACACTCAAGCTTTTGCTTGTTAAGGTGGTTCTGCAAGTTGGGACGGTGTTGGGTAATAACACGGTGTAATGTGTTGTTGACTCCACGAGGACTAGATGTGTGACCATTCCCTGTTATGTTCATGACATGTTTAACTAGAGGGTCTGAGTTTTGCTAATATTCATCTTTTTTTTACGCCGAGTTTCATTCTTTTTTTTTTCTTTCTGAAATTTTCCATGAAACTTTTACAGCAGCAAAGTCACTCATTTTTAAAGCCACTTGTTTCACGTTTTATTATTGTCCTTTGTGGGCTTCAAACTCACTTTGGATTTGTGTTTAAAATAAAATTAAAGGATTTTTAAAAAGTCTTTTGGAATGCTGATATTTTTGGAAACTAGATGATTTTTCTGTTTTAAACAACACATTAATTTACATATTTTTATGTGAGCTGGTGCTTTTATGGATCCATTAATGCGACAGATTCATTCTTCTTACAGGAAAACTCTGAGCCGGATGTGAGCTGTTGCACGCCCGAGACTCAGCAAGACGATCCTCTCCAGGTGAGATTTTCCAACAGAAATAGAGAAAATATTAAATTATACAAGTAAAGCTTTCTATCCAGCAGTTTCTTTAATGTGGACTCCTGTTCTCATGTTCGTAGATCATCGATAGCATCATTGAGGAGAGTCAAAAGGGAAGCGCTGATGCTGGTGAGGTGGCTCAGTTGTTGGATGAGCTCCATGTTGATGTTAGAACAGAACCAAAGGAAGAACTGTCCCCAGAGAACGTTCCTGCGGAGAAATTAGCTCCGGCTGTTAGGCTTGAGCTAGTCGAAGGGTTGGAGGAGCAAGAGAAAAGCGTAGCAGCAAATGGGGAATGCTCTTTACCGGATCCTGGACCTACAGACGCTCTAGGTCCATCATCTGCATCACAAGAACAGGTACAACCTCCAGATATCACCAGCACCATCGGACAGAGTCGGCCTGAAGCTGCTGTCGTGGCTCCAGGAGGCCAAAGGGAGCAGAGGCCCGCAGACCTCTTAGACCAAGTCCCCCTAACAGACAGGCCGTCTGATTCAGACTCACCGGGGCCTTTGAAACCCCCCCGACAATTCACAGTAGAACCAGATATTGTAGCCAGCACAAAAAAGCCTCCCCCCTCTCGCCCACCCCCACCTGTTGGCGGTCCCCCACGTAGACCTCCCCCACCCTCCAGGAACACCATACCCTCCAAGAAGTCCCAGGAGAGCCTGAGGCCGTGTGGACTGGACGGTGAGGAGACGTTGGAGTCATTTTTACTCAGTTTAAACATTTTAGCTCAAAATGTGAATTATTGTTGACCATTTATGCGGCAAAATGGCAAACACATTTCTCTGTGTGTTCTTATTTAACAAAAGGTGATCATGTGGACAAATCTTTTATTTATTCAGACTGTCAAACAGACAAATGACAGTTTAACCTGAAGGGTGTGACTCATGCTGCGTTGGGAGGATTTAGGTCGTTTTCTGTGCTGTGATTTCCTGTGTGATTCTCCAGTTTCTGCAGTGAGTTCGGTCGGCTGTGATTCTCTGGATCCCTCCGGTCTGGTGTCTCCCTGCAGCACAGTGACGAGTCTCACCAAAGATCTCCAGCATTCCTTGGATCTGGCCAGTGCCACCAGCGGGGACAAGGTGGTGACGGCACAGGTCAGTGGGGCCGTGGACCAGAGCACTTCACCCTCAGCCGCTCTAAGATCAGACTTTTAATTTCAATGTATTTTTGTCTTAGGAACATGAGGACGAACAGGCCTCATCGCAGAGTGTAGGACATGCCGCAGGTCCTCAGCGCCCACGTTCCAACTCTGGTAGAGAACTAACAGATGAAGTAAGAGTCTGTGTGCTTTTTCTCATTCATTAGCATTTAATGCCTGCCATGCTGAATCTTTTCCTGAGTTAATGTGTGACAATAGCAGTAAATCAGGGATTGGCAGCCTTATGAAAACGTTTCTTTATGGTTTTCAAATAATCTGATTTTCTACAAAACCATACTTGTGTGTAATCCTTGAACAGGAAATACTGGCCAGCGTGATGATCAAGAATTTAGACACCGGTGAAGAGATTCCTCTGATTCAGGCAGAAGAGAAACTTCCAGCAGGCATCAACCCTCTCACTCTGCACATCATGAGGAGGACCAAGGAATACGTCACGTAAGCAGGAAATCATTTGAAATGGCTCCGTGGGTACGTTTAGTTAAGTAGCTAACAGGAAAGTCCAGCTTTCACAGGTGAACTGGTGTTGCTTTGGGTGTGTGCACGTTGCACACATTCAAACCATTTTCTGAATCAAATAAGGAAACCTGTGGGATTTTCTTTTCTCACTCAGGAATGACGCAGCTCAGTCGGATGATGACGACAAGTCTCAGACTGCGCTAATGGACACAGATGGTGGAAAACTGAAGCAGAAAACGTAAGGGTTCTTCGGTTTGACTCGCCCTGTTCCCTCATGATTTAACTTTGGAAGTGAAAAAGAATTCTCCTTTTGGTTTACAACCAGAACTCAGCTGAAAAAATTCCTGGGCAAGTCTGTGAAAAGGGCCAAGCATCTCGCTGAGGAGTATGGAGAGAAGGCGGTCAATAAGGTCAAGAGCGTGCGTGATGAAGGTATTTTGTTTGTTTTTGAAGCATTTGAGCTGCCGTTAACATGTTTTCATGCAGAGACTTTTTAGTTTTGTTCTCCTCTGAAGTGTTCCACACAGATCCGGACGACCCTTCATCGAGTGATGATGAGGGCATGCCTTACACCAGACCTGTAAAGTTCAAGGCCGCTCATAGCTTCAAGGGTCCTTTCGACTTTGATCAGATCAGAGTTGTGCAGGACCTGAGTGGAGAGCACATGGTAGGACGATCCCAGCCCTGCTGGTTATTGTTTCTGATCAAAGTCGGCATCCTAAAACCTCCATGCTGTCCTCCAGGGGGCCGTTTGGACAATGAAGTTTTCTCACTGTGGGAGGCTCCTGGCAACGGCAGGCCAGGACAACATCGTTCGCATCTGGGTCTTAAAGACTGCCTTTGATTACTTCAATAATATGAGATTAAAGTACAACACTGATGGTCTGTTCTCTAGGAACCCTGATGGTGACCTGTATGGTGATAGATCCTGTAGCTAAATAACGACTCGCGGTTTCATTCTTGTGATATTTTGGCTCCTCCAGGTCGAGTTTCCCCTTCTCCTTCCCAGGAAAGTTTATGCTCCTCTAAATCTGACACTGATCCTGGGGTGAGTCTCCAACAGCTCTTGATGATGAGCAACTTTTCATGTTGTCAGTGTGTAAAAACAATAATCAGATACTTAATAAAACTGAAGGATTCTGAATCATTTTTGTGTTTTAGACGAGTTGTATTCCAGAGGACCCGGATACTGAAGACAGACATACTCCTTTCCGTCAAGTCCCCTTCTGCAAGTACAAGGGTCACACTGCTGACCTGCTGGACCTGTCCTGGTCCAAGGTGATTGTCTCTCTTATTTCACAATTGAGCTCTCTTCATGCTTTTAGTCCGTTTTTGTTTCAGCTTTTCCGTTTTGTGTTTCTAGAACTTTTTCCTGCTCTCTTCTTCTATGGATAAGACGGTCCGATTATGGCACATATCCAGGAGAGAATGTCTCTGCTGCTTTCAGCACATAGATTTTGTCACAGCCATTGCTTTTCACCCCAGAGTAAGTGGAGTCGGGTCGGCTCAGCATCGTCTCGGTGCAAACATCTGTACATCTGCTGGTTTTATGGAAGCGTTTGGTCCTCCTTCCTCCCCAGGATGACAGATACTTTTTAAGCGGCTCTCTGGATGGAAAACTACGACTTTGGAACATTCCAGACAAGAAGGTGGCGTTGTGGAATGAGGTGGATGGCCAGACTCGGCTCATCACTGCAGCCAACTTCTGCCAAAATGGAAAGTATGCGGTCATCGGCACGTACGACGGCCGATGCATCTTCTATGACACCGAGGTATCGTGCTGCTCAACCGAACACATCAGTTTGCTCTTTATAGGAATCACGAGTTTGAAATATGATTTCCTCTCATCCGCCATTAGCGTCTGAAATATCACACTCAAATACACGTGAGGTCCACCAGAGGGAGGAATAAAGTTGGACGCAAAATTACTGGGATTGAGCCTCTGCCTGGTGAAAATAAGGTAAACCCCGCCCCCCCCCAGACTTACCAGCATGTTCAAGTCTCTGTAATGAAGCTCTGAAACCACCTATCCTCTACAGATTCTGGTCACTTCCAATGATTCCCGCATCCGCCTATACGACCTGAGGGACTTGTCTCTGTCCATGAAGTACAAGGGTTACGTCAACAGCAGCAGCCAGATCAAGGCCAGCTTCAGGTGAGGAAGGTTTCCCATCAGACTGGAGAAAAGCAGTCTGGTTAAAAACTAGGGATGCACAATATATCGACATCAGTATCGGCAGATGGTTTTAACATATCGCTATCGGTCTGATAAATAGAACTGGGCCGATATTAACAACCGATATTTTTTCCATCTTGTTTCCATTTAGTGGTTTCAGAGGGTGAGGGGGGTGATGTGTGTTTTAGTCATGTGACAGTGATTGTAATCATCTCAGAAGCATAAATGTGTGTGTTGTGTGTACATAACGTAAAATCAGCTTTAATCATTTTCTTTCTCTACAAAATCTGCTGGTTTTAGAAGCATTAATGTCAGTATATCCGCATTGGCAAATATCTGTTATCGGCAGGGCTGCACAATATAGCGCAAATATATTGTTATTGCGATATCAGCATGCACAATATGCATATTGCAAAGGACAGATAAATATTGCAATGGTCAGCTCAAATGTTTGCTACACATAATGCATTCTGTCAAACAGAAGCATGACGTATTTTTAACAACTCAAATAGAGCTTTTCACCCATTTGGCCAATTGGGTGGGTTCTCCTTGGTTAGATGCCCGCCCCCGAGGCAGACGGCACTTAATTTTGATGGTTAGCAAACACCTGAGTTAGCTTTTTTCTGCTCTTTTTGCTGATTGTGCTTTTCCCGGGATCCACTGGTTGCATTTTCTTGTTCATTTTCATTTTCCCTTTCCTCATCTTTTGCTTTTCTCATTTTTATGATTTTTTTGGTAATTTTTTTCATTTCTTTGTTTATTGCAAGTAATATCGCCATCACAATGTTAATCTGTTATCGCATATTGCAGGTTTTCCTAATATTGTGCAGCCTTAAGTAATCGAATATCTGCATCGCCCCAAAAGTTTCATATCGGTGCATCACTATTAAAAACAAATGTCTTCTTACAGCCATGACTACTCCTTTATCGTGAGTGGCTCTGAGGATAAATACGTGTACATCTGGAGCACTTACCATGATCTAAGCAAGTTCACATCCGTACGACGGGACCGCAATGACTTCTGGGAAGGGATCAAAGGTACCTGCACTGTTTATTAAAATTGACATTCCTGTGGTGTGAACTCCATTTTGCTACAGCAGCTGCTCTGTTTTCCAGCACACAACGCGGTGGTCACCTCAGCCGTGTTTGCACCTCATCCAGGGCTCATCGTCCCTCAGGAAACGGGAACGGAGAAGCCAGAAGCGGACCGTAAAAGCCTGGACTCCACAGACTCTGAAACGATACCATCAGGTACGTTCTCCTGGGTTAAGCTCACAGAGAGGCGTTTCTTTCAGCTGAGTAAAGTTCTTGTTTGTTTTTGCAGGCGCCCTAAAAACCGATCACACGGAGGTTCTTCTGTCTGCTGATTTCACTGGAGCCATCAAAGTTTTTATCAATGTTAAAAAGTACTGAGCAGTTCAGGGTCCTCTGCTCTTCATGCACAGGTGTGCCTGTTAAGAGATTAGTCCCTAACGATGGAGGGCATGTCCTAATGGTGATAGATAAGGGACAGAAAACTGTTCACAAGTGACTAAATGAGATTCCTCGTCACATTTCTGTTTTTATCTTTCAAAGCAGGCAAACGTGAAAGAGTTGGTAAACAAATGGAGCTGTTTATGTACATTTATAGCTGAACGGCCCGGTCGCTAAGTTTTTTGCATCAGAATGAGCACCTTCCTGATTTGCGTCTCACATCTCAGAAGAATATGTTGCAACGGTTAAATTCTAATACCTTGTTTTAAATTTGTCTTTTTGTCAAGTTGGATTAAAATCTTATTTATGGTCATTTGTTTTCCCCACAGGAAGTGATTTCCTTTCCTTTAACACCAACCCTTCCATCACATCCGCAGTAAAAGATTCAGTTACTAATGAATCCTGCAGGGTTGTTCAGAAGTCACTGGGTCTCGTTTCTGTGTTCAGCTAAAGCACATTTCATGATAGGACTGTAAATCCGTTAAATGGCAAACCTCCTGCTTTTGTAAACAACTTATGTACTTTCCTCAATAAAACTTTTCAGAAATGCTGGCTGAGCTTTTCTTTTGCAGCCCTGCTAAGTTCTGGCATAAAAAACTATTCAGTAAACAGAATTCATCACCAAAGATGATTTAATGTCAGAATTTGCAGCATTAGATTATTTTAAAAACAAAAATATAAGTAGTTACAGTGTTGAAACTTCACATAGAAAAGGGAGCTGGATCTTGCATGGATGGTTGGAACAGCAGCAGTCAGTGTTTGCTCTTCTTCGACTTCTTATGGGAGCGATGTGGCGACCGTGACCTGGACTTTTTGGACTTTAGAACTGGGGATGGTGATCGGGAACGTTTGGACCGTTTGGGAGACTTTTTCCTGCTAAATGGAAAGAAGATAAATTGTAAGAATATGATAAACATCTGTGTTACAATCTTATTTTGTTAGTACTTGCCTTATGGGAGAGCTGCTCCGTGATTTTCGAGCTTGTTCTCCAGTATCGCTGCTCCGTCTTCTGTCGCCTTCATCCTTTCTTTTGCTCTTCTCTCTGTTCCGCCTGTCATCCTTCTGCCCGTCTTTGGACTTTGATCTCTCATTCTTTTCTTCGTTCTTTTCAAACTCCTGCAGCAGAAACATTTCAGTAACTCCAAGTCTTTAATATAATTGAGAACAAGATGCAAATTTCTCCCGTGAGCTTCATTCCACATCCATACTTGACTGATAAACTAATACACTAGGAGAAAAATGTAACCGAGAGCCAGATAAGTTTCAGAACTAGTAACTCTCAAAGGAAATTTTTTTTCTTGATTCCAGTCATGTCCAACAAATGCAACATACATAACTCTGAAACTCTCACCAGACGTGTAGCTACACTTCTCTCCCTGTAGATGGTGCACTTCTGATTAATTCTGGGACTGTGTGTGCTGAGCTGACTCAAGCTATGAGAACATTTTTAGGACTACAGTTTTAATTCTGGCAGAAGAAACAAGTCATAAACTAAAATATTCACCTTCTGTAGCAGTTTGTTTCTGTAGTGCTCCACTTGATGCTGCATGCTCTGTCCGGACTTCCTCGGCCTTTTCCCAGACTCCAGCTCATCCTGGAACTTCATTACCTTTACCTGTGTCAGAAACAGTCCATCAGCTCCACTCCTTACTAAGAGCTTTGACTGATCAGTAGAAATGTGTTTAAAACCCTGGTGGTGGTGTTTCGTTACCTCTACCTCCCTCAGCCTTTTCCTTTTACTCTCAGACACTTGGAAACTTTTGAGGGAGCTCTGGAAAACCGCACTGTCATAGTTTGGTGCACCGGAGGAGTCGGCACTGCTGTCGCTCTCCGAGTCCTCGTCTTCCTCGTGTGAGTTGCTGCTGTTGTCAGGATGGAGAGGAGAGACGTAAACATATCGATAGATCACGTCACTGTTGTAATGAATAAAGAACTGAAACCAATCACTTCGGCCTCACCTAACATTCACTTTATCTTCATCCTCTTGCTCGCCCACAGTGTCCCACTTGGACTCGGCTTTGGCTGAGACAAAAAGAACAATGAGCGGAGAGGATGCCAGAGGCTGGTCCAGTGACAGAGGACATCTGGACGTGTCTTACCATGAGAAAATGTCCCAGTGTCACTGGTTTTCTCCCATTTAGACAAAGGCACCCCAGAAAGACGGTTACTGCTCTCATACACTGAGGACAACAGAGAGCGGGTTCAGGTAAGCAGACACTTAATCACAGAGCACATGAATCTGCTCAGACACCTGGTACGGTTTGGTTTCAGCACCGATGTAGTGAGGTGCAGCAGAAAAAACAAACAGTACACAGAACAGCTGTCCTAAGGGGACATAACAGGGTTTTTGAAGTGCCACTCTAAAGAAATCTCACAACTAAAAACCATCTTACTTGCTGCAAATAGCTGAACGACTTCAGTCTGAAAGGCCTGACCAGCCCAGAGCTACTCCGGTTTTATGCAAACACTATTTAGTAGGCCTTTACACTGCCTGTGATTCTGCATTCCTATGGTGGGCTGGGTTTTGGACAAAAATACCGACTGTGTGTTTACTATTCTTTAAGAATTGTATGTAAAATATATTTAGAGTAAACATTACCTTGAATTGGGAGGAACTGTTTTTACACTCTCCAAATCAGCATCAATGAAGAACAACCCTTAATATTTTTGTTAGAAAACCTTCAGATGGGGTTTTAGATGTCATACGCCCCATGGGTACCTCTTTGTATGCATGCATCAAACTACAGTTTCAGATGGTCCCAAAGGCGGCTGCTCAGGTTCTAACGAACACTAGGAACCATCATTACATTTTCCCAGTACTGGCTGCCCTACACCAGACCAGTGTTCAGTTTAGGGTTCATAAAAACGTCCCTGCATCTCATCTGTCTGACATTCTTCATCCATGTTGCTTCATGGCCTTTCGTTTGGCTGGACAGCTGCAGCTGGAAGCTCAAACAGCACGTCTGAAATCCAGGGGGGAGCAGACTAGCCCTTAGCTCATCAGTCCTTCCAAACCAAAGCTTTTAGTGAACCGTTTCACAGAAAGCTTAGAAATGACTTTAAATTGTTTACAGTGGACTCACAGGGTATTCCATCTATGTCATCTATAGCAGTGGCCAAAGGAACACCATCTAGATCATCTACAGGTACCCCATCCAGGGGGTCCCAGCCCATGGGGCAGCCGTCGATGTCATCCACTGGAGATCTGCCCAGTCGTAACCCATCTACAAGGGTTCTGTCCAGCAGCACACCATCAAGCTCACGGGATGTATCCTATGAGACAAACAAATTCCTTACCAGGTGTTTGGTGTCCGTTTTATCAGCACCCCCAGATGTTTATATGGAGTTACAATAAGACCTTAGTGCCTGTGCCGAGAGGATAAGCTCACCTCTACCGTCTCTGCTTCCTCTTCTCCTGCTTTGACGAAGCCCAGAAAGATGTTCTGAAGGCGGATTAGATAAGGCTCTGGATATATGGCCCAGTCTTCCCACGCTCTAAAACAATTCATGACCTTTTGCTGCAAAGACAGGACATGAACATGGTTCCTCTTCCCTTCTGTCCCATTTAAGAGAAATGTGGTGACTGTGTGAGGCGACGCATTACCTTAAACTGCTCGGCCTGCAGCCGGGCTTGTATGTTCTTATAGGCGGCATTAAGAAACTCAAATATCTGCGGTAGCTTTGTTTCAAGACTGGAAAAAAAAAAGAGATATTTTGGAGAAATGAAATAAAAATAAATTAAATTAGAAGTAATAAATGTGAATGAAAGAAAGCTCCTTACTATTTACGATAATATGATGCACCGGCTACTTTAGCACTAGAGTTGTGCAGAAGGTCTGAGACGAGATACAACCTAGAGATCTGTGAGATGTAAGGAAACACATAAGCAGATGTTTTCTTCTGTGATTACTATGTGTTCACACAGAGACTAGCCTTCTTCTGAAGGGGTGTCGGAAGCACAGAAAACGAGTCGGTGACGAGTCCCACTACTTCTTCTGCAGCATCTGCTCGTTCCAGGCAGAACATCATGGCACTGGCGATACCGTCTCTGCTAGGAGTCAGCTCCTCTAGAAGTGTCTCCAGTTTCTGTTTGTGCCTGATTCAGGTTTACAGAACAACAAAACTCCTTCAATGTAAAGTTACGACCCAACGATGTCCTAGACCAGCGGGGCAGACTTACTCAGCTCTGAGCTGACCCTTCTTCACCTCCTCCTCCTCTAAGGGAGACGTGTTCATTCCCTCTGCTCCATCATCTCCTCTCAAAGAGTAAGTATTTAGGACAGGGGGTCTCCATACTGAGCCTCCTCTGAACATACGGAAATCGGCTGTCCTCCACTTGGTGGGAGACTCTCCCTGTGGGACCCAGGCAGGTTAAAGTCATGAAATCAGGCTAAAGGATTTGTCTGTAAGGTTTGTAGTCTAAACATACCTGGAGGATTGAGAACAACTTCCAGCGATAGTACACGTGATCTTGGCTTTTACAGTCAAAAAGAAACCTGGAGGGAGAAAAAACACATTAAGTAACTACTTACTACCTCATGAGACTAACAAGTACCCATGTAGAACATACGCACCTGTAATCTGGATTTTTTATCTCTTTGTTCATTATTATGGCTTCAAACATGGGACCTTCACGCACCACAAACTCTATCATTCTGTGAATGAGGAATAACAGATTCCTGTGGGAGGGAGGGAGCCGCATCAGGCTGGGTTTTAGATCCCAGTGAACATTAAAACTTAACACCCCGGCTGGCCCATGACGACCATTAGCTGACTGCGCCTAAGCGTTCACAATCCTAAAGGCGTTTTTCCAGTGTGCAAACTGTCTGTCCTCAGTGCTTGCATATTTCAAACCAATCAATGCTCCAGGATTTAGAATTCATCATTTTGTTTTTGATGCTGACCCAAACTTTCATGAAGATTCAGTGGCCATGTTTAATTTTAGCCCCATGAGTAACTTCAAATAAAAAGGCTGAGCTAAAAGGGAGCCTAAGTGGCGCCCATCTACTTCCACACCATGGGTCCCCAGAAGAACGAGAAAATTAATGTAAGTGAACGGGGCTAAAAACGCCATTTTCTAATTCTGCTTGTTATGTTCCATGGATTTCACATATGATGTCCGTGAATTTTAAAGAAGCATTTTCGAATGGGTGGAACGATATTTTAACTTTGTGTGAAAATAAGTCCAGGACTACAAATGTGCATCACGAAAGGGACGTCATGAAACCAGACACGGAGAAAACTGAGGAAAAAGGGCTGTAAGTTCAGCAAACTTCTAATTGCTCCCATAGGAGGAAAGAGCCACCATAAATCTGACCATGTGGTACGTAGCAGCTACGCTAAGGGAGGGGAGATTATCTGGTGACGTGCCGATGTAGTCACACTAATTGCGAACTTTTACAAGCTGATTAATCTCAAAGTACGTGGCTGGCGTGATCAAAATTTTAAGGTTCTTCTACTGGTTTTAAGTGTCTTAATGGTTTTGGGCCTTCTTATCTCTCAGAACTGCTTTTACCATATGAACCCTCACGGCCTCTGCGCTCCTCTGGCAGGCATCTTCTGGTCATCCCTAAAGTCAGGACACTCACAGCGAGGCGTTCTTCCAGTGTTACGGCCCTCGCCTCTGGAACGATCTGACGGAAGACCTCAGGGCCGCAGAGAACGTTCACGTTTTTAAGTCCAGGCTCAAGACCCGCCAATTTAGGTTAGCTTTTATCTAATTATTTACTATAGTGAAACTGTACTAAAATATAATCATATAAAACATGCAAAGCCAGTAATAAAATATAGTCATGTAAAATGAGAAATCATAATAATATTATAATTTTACTGTCCATATGATTTTATTTATTTTCTTACTTTTGTCATTTATATTGGCTCTTTTATTTTCATATTTTTACTCATTTTAATCCAGTGTTTTCTCTGTAGGTCAACTGTTGCTTCCTGGGCGCTCTACAGGTAGTGTTTAAGTGGAGGTGGGGTCTATGCTACCCCTCTGAGCGCCCTGACTTAGTGTGGAAGACCTGATGCTGCCGAAGCAGACGGCTCCTCTGATGGCGTTTCCTTGCCTTACCTAACTCGGCTCATCTGGACTCAGCTGAATATAAATTTTTACTGATGTGTGTATGTGTGTGTGTGCGTGCGTGCATATGTCTGTTAATATTTTCAAACTGTTATGGGAATTTGGGGTCATTTTAACTTTTTAAAGCACTTTGCTTGAAAAGTGCTTTATAAATAAAATCTGATTGACTGAAAACGCCCATCATTACTTTTCATTTAAATTGAAATACAACATATGTGTGATCCAGGGTCTAAGGCAAAGCGGATTAGAAAATAGCTCTTTAGCCCCGTTGACTTGCATTCATTTTTTCGTTCTTTCGGAGACCCATGAGCCGACCGGAAAGGGAGGACACTTAGACTCCTTATGAGGCAGCATCTTTCCAGTCAGTGACAGGGTGACAGACTGAAAGCAGGAAGCTCAGAATTGTTCCTGTGGACTAAAACCTATCTGAGACATAATAAATCTACTGACTTCAGTCGGTGTTTATGTTAAATCTCTCTGCCTTCCTGCTGTATCGGTCTGCAGTGTCTCAGCCAACCCACGGGAAACCCTGCTCTCAAATAAACTCACGGCTCTAACAGTCATTCACAAGAAATCTACACACATCTGACAGCAAAACATCTGGATGTTATTCACAAACAAGCTCAACAATAGGAGTCCCTCCACTAAAACACCCCGGAGAGCCGGATTTCTCTACTCTATGTGCATCTCAGGTGAACCATTAGCTCTTAAAGCTGGACTCGTTTATAGATAATAGGAGAGTGCACGTCGGCCTCTGTCCTATGACACTTGTGTTAAGACAGCTGGTCAGTCATGGTAAGAAGAGTGTGTGTACCTTTCGGTTGGGATAACCACTTTGACTACGGCTTCGGACAGAGTCTGTTTGTGAAGTCAAACCAAATAGTGAAAATATTACAAAGTGAGTACTTGTACAGATGAACACTGCAGGATACATACAGCATAGAAAACACTGGGGAGGCGGACACAGCTTTAGTACTCCAGTAAAGGCAAAGAAATACAAACATTTAAAAAGGCTGAGCTAAATCTTAATTTAAGTATCCAAAGACACAACATGTTTATATTTAGAGTTGATCAAAGCCAAAAGGAGCAAACAGGCATCATAAAAGTAAATGTATTTAACGCATTCGCATCGATTTGTGTTAAGTTTTATTATTGAATCAGAATGTTAACTACAGTTTGAAATGAGTCTTTTAACCCTTTCATGCCTGGTGGTCACTATGTGGGCGTTGATGGTGTACTTGCACAAAAGCGACCACATTAGAGCCTATTGTGTCTACTGGTCATGTATGGAGGCCGCGATTATAATCGATCAAATACACGCTTCTAAGTAAGATGTATGTTTTTCTGAGTGGTCACTACGGTTGGGCGATACGTAACATTTTTACAAGGTGAAATTAATCATCTAACAAATGACGATGTGCCAAATAGTTATGCAGGTTCAGACGTTTGGCTTGACACGGAGTGATCCACCAATAACGATCTTTCTTCCTCAGTTTGCTGTATCAGACCAGGAGGGGTCCTCATTCTGAGTTTCATTGGCTGTTTGATGTGTCAATTAACAACATCCTACACCACGATTGGTTCAAACTACATGACAATAGGGGATGGGACTTCTGACCTATCAGCAAACAGCTGATAATGTTGCCTGTTGGATCAGGTAAGATGTCGATCAAAAGTCTGAAGCTAATATGTGGATGCTAACGGAGGTTAGGATGAAAACTTTAAAAGAGATGCATCTGAAAGAAAGTCTGCAGGTTTTCAGCGGTACACACGACTTGCTGTGGACTAACGGTCTAATTAGACTCTTGTGGACTGAATAAGAACATTTTTGTTTGAGATGGCTCTATTCTGTCAATATTATGAGGCTTTGAACAGTGAGTTACTGTGTCTACAGTTGTGGTTGTATCCTTGTTACACATCACTGAAATCACAAGACTTCTGGCTTTCTAAGGATGTACAATAACTGGAAGTACCCAGAAAGGGTGACCTGGAAGTATGTGATGTTCCATATGTCAGATTCATTCATTTGCAAAAAAAAATATCGCTCTTAAAAATAATCTGTGAGGGGCTTGATCTATTGTCAGTGGTAGATAAATCACCCAACCGTCACAGATGTAAAAATGAATATAAAAGCACATATTTTTTAAATACATATGTTTCTGAATAAATAGATTGGACAGAAGAATCCTTACCGAGGTTATAACATTTTGTGCATGAAAGGGTTAACAGATATAGCAAATTATAAAAGTTTAGATTTATATTTCCTATAAAGGAACACAAAAAAATGACCCCCCCAAAAAAAGCTAATTTCTAATTTTTCCCAGGGTAACATCACCACCTAAACAGTTTGATGAGGAGACCGTTTACCTTGTTGAGCTCTGTTTTCGACATGCCCAGAGGTTTTGTGAAGTCATTGCGTAAGCGATCCCTTGGCTGGGCGTTGAAAGGCAGGCCAGATGGGGGCGGGGGTGCAGCTCTCACCCCAACTGGTGTGTACAGGGGCTGAGGTGGAATACGGGCTGGTTTGCCCCATCCCAGTTTCATTTCAAACCCCATAATCACTTTACCTGTAACATCAAACACATTTCTGCCCTTACAGTCAATACAGAACTCAGACATGGAGTTAAAGCAAAGCCGTACCAGTTGTTTGGTTTGTTTCAAACATTTGTAAAAGTTTACGCTACCATCCAGAGCAGCCATGGCCCTTTCTGCGTCTTTTCGTGTCATGAAGGCCACAAAGGCTCTGTTGGAAGTTCTGCAACGCTCTTCGTCTGTTCGGGGCCACATGATCTTCACGCTGGCCAGGGGGCCATGTTTACAAAACTCCCGGCAGAGCATCTCTTCATTCATCTGGAAGAATAAGAACTACATGTGAGAGGGGGCTTCTCATCCTGCCGAGCCAATTAAAGAATTGTGGCACTACCTTTGGACTAATGCAGTTAATGTAGAGGTTGGTGGAAACTGGGGCTAAGTCATCATACAACACTAGAATAACACAAAACGCAGGTTAGCAGCAATCTGAGCTCAGAGATAGTTGCACTAACCCTAACCCTAACACCTACTTGATCGTCCCAGTGAGGATAGATCCAGATCTTCATGTCCTCCACCTTCTCTTCTTACACCAGAATCACCCCTCTTTCTTTTATGTCTTTCCTCACGCTCTTCTTGTATTCTGCATGTTTACCACGTAATAAAAACAAGCTCACGTGCATGAAAACAGCATCAGAAAATCAAAGATATTAACAAACTCACAGCTTAAGTTCTTCTTTGAAAAGTTCAAGATTACTCTTCTTCTTCTCATCCACCTTTTTTTTAAATGCCTGCATAATAAACAAGACCATTTACTTCCCTTTCACTAAATAAACAAAAACATAGATGTGTAAAACTCCATTCCTGCTTAGTGAAATAACCAACACATCCCAGACTCACAGACTTTCTGCTTTCTGACGACGCTGATGGTGAGACATGGTGAGACACAGAGACAAACTTTGTGGCAGGTCGGTACAGCTTATTCTTTTTCACTTCTGCTTCTTCCTCCTCTGCAAAAAGACAATTATTTATGATATCTGGTTTGAAAAAAGGCAGGATGGTACATTCCTATCACTAGGAATTGTGTGAAGATTCAAAAATCATGTAGAAAACAAAAACAATAGTCCTAAAGTTCTTACACTCACCTTTAGTTGCATTCACTATACCCCCTCGCACAAAAGTCTTCACCTTGTTTTTCTCACTGGTCTCAAACGATGCCACGAACTCTTCAAAAACCTCTGCTGCTTTCTCTACTTCCTGATGTCACACACACACACACACACACACACACACACACACACACACACACACACACACACACACACACACACACACACACACTTAACCACTTTTTCCATTTAATTTGATCAGAAATAAGCTGTTGTTAATTATTGGTGTTTTGATTTTTGACAAATTGATGCTTGATGAGACTTCAATCACAAAGTAAAGTTTTCAGAAAAAAGAAAAGAACAAACCACCTTCTTCTTCAGCACTTCTTGTTCTTTTTTGGAGAGCGGTTTGATAGGAGTGGATGGTTTTCTCTTTCTCTCCGACATTCTCAAGCTGCTGAAAATAAACAGACACAACCAATTCTAGTAGAAAGTAAATACGATTTAGATTTGTGATGTTCTTCACAATCTGTCTCAATTTAAATGTGCTACAGATATTTATTTAAAACTATTTTTTTTATTTGAGGACCTTAATAAACTTATGAAGCAGCCAAATCAGAAGTAAACATTTCTTTTAAAGTGCATTACTTTCCAATATGACAATAATCCCAAATATTATGTTAAACCCATTAATAACGGGTAAAGAAAAACTGTGGTATTTTAGAGCTTTCTGGTTAGATTTAAGACCTCAGTACTATCAAAACATTACAAGATAAGAGCTAAATTTAAATAAATCTACCTGGAGATGATAAAAAAAACAAGGACTGGTTTATGTGGTTTGATGTTTTAGTGTAACAGAAACATAGTCAATCTCTTTAAAACACCATCCTCTGTTGCTTAAATCAAATCATACAGTTAAAACAAAACCATGGGTATTTAGAAAGAGGATAATGATGCATCTCCTGAGGGGTCATTTCTGTTACTCACTCCATCCCTTCTTCCACCCGAGGACATGAACACTAGGTGCAAACACGAGTTTGCAGACGTAAACACACACACACAAAGAAAAGAAAATCTGGTGATACAAACTTCTTACAGTCACTGATTCACTGCTGAGCTCCACCATCATGGTGGGTAGAACGACTCTCAAGGGGGATGCTAAAAACAAACTAAATCACATAATGCAGCTATCTATTTAAACATCGTGAAATAAATATTACATCGACTATTAACTTGAGTGCACACGTGGATTTACTTTGGTTTTAATGATAAAAACAGCTTCAACAGGCCTAAAACAAATCACTTCTCCAAGCTAACGTTAGCTCACAATAATATCTAGCCTAGCTTACCAGTAGCTGGACTCCACCATAGCTTTTTGTTTTATTTTTTCAATAAATACTGTAGTAAAGTTATTATTTTTCACCTGACACTGCTTTTAATATGTATGTTTATCATGACGGCTAACAAAAACTACCTCTCAGTCTACCGAGACGAACACATTTTAGCTAACAAGCTAACACGACTGTTATTCTATTGTAACGCAACAACACGCACGCGCTGGATTTTCTGCAGCCAGCACCGTTTCATACCTTTCGTAAAACTGTTAAGTGTCTTATGTTATTGCGTCGTCATTCTGGTTACGACGGTTTGTTTTCAGGCACAACGAGCCACCAGGATATACCAGGATGCCAGAAGATTCCTGACTGTAGCTGCTGGAGACGCCTGCTGCTCGGTCCGCTGGCACTGCACGTCATTTAAACCTGTCCGCCCCTCTCCACATCCAAACACATCCCAACCTCAACTCTGGCTTTTAGTTCCCTTTTGCAGCTTTGTGTCATGGAAAAAACTCTATTCTATTCTAAGCTTTCTGAATTCCATCTGCATGCCTGGACGTTGGCATTTGACCACATTTGATTATAAAGATCTTCTTTGGAAAACAATTAAAGTCCTTTATAAATAGGTCAGATTTTCATTCTAAGGTTCCAGAGAGGTACAATAATGTCGGAGTGTATCAGGGATTATCATCAAGAAAACTTACGAATTTCACGAACATTCTGTTTAGGGTTTCCTTATCAATGTCTTACCTCTTATCTGAATGTGAAACCTCCACCAAGTGCTGGAAAGATGTTAAAGGTGCATTATGTAGAAATGAAGTAATAAATTAAAAAAATCATGAAAAAAGTTGTCAAATTACAATTGTCAGCGCTGCAGCATTAGCTCGCAGGAGACACTGCAATCATCACACTCACTGATGGTAAACAGTAGTTACGTCCCTCCTTCCTTTGTTTTGAAAGGAGAAAAAGTGACAATCCTCAGCCAGTTGGATATGAAATGTGTTTCAGTGTAACCTTCCTTCCAAAATGACTGAAACATTTGACTCTTTTGGGATTTTCTCACTGTAAAGTTCTCACTATATTGTTACAAAAGTCCAATTTTAACCCTCTGGAGGCAGGCATTGCAGATACATATTTCATGAGCATCTTTTAACTCAGAAGTACCCCTGAAGGACATAGTTGTTCGTCCTTTTATCAAAACTTATTTTGAGCCTGAGAGGGTTAAAATGAAAGGTGATTCAAACAAGATGATGAACCTTAAAAATGCAATCACTTGTTTTATCTCCATTATGCAAAGCTGCAGTATCAACAAACATAAAGTAGCATGAGATTATTTCCATAGAAAATGAAACCATATTTAAAATCTTGTTCAGCATTAAATTCCCCCTGACATAAACTCCTCTTATCAATTTTTAGATTTATCTCTGATATTTAGCTGATTTTTTTTCACGAGCCACCAAACGTTTTTTGCACTTATCAGTATGATTTACAGTGGCGGCTGGTGCAAAATAAACTTTATTGGGGATATGTGTGAAAAAAATGTCTTTGCCAGTCTATTACCAGTATTCAAATGAACAGTTGGAAAATGACTGCAGTTCAAAACAATTATTTATTTCCATTGCTCAAATAAACAGTGTTACAGATGGCCAACATTCAAAGGTATAGATAACGTAGACAATAAATATACTGCTCAAGAAAATAAAGCCTACCATGTGAGCAACCACATGTAGTCCAAAATGTCCATTTTTGCCCCTGGTCTGTTCTGTTGGGTCCATTAATGATATAAAAAACAGAACATGAGAAAACAACAGATTTATTTTTGTCTCTGTTTACCAATTATGTTTATTTATTTATTAACTAGTTTTTAAACCAGATTTTTCTTTTGCTATTAACATGGCTTGTAATTTAATTAATTTTATACTAAAACCTAAATTAAGAAATACTGTTTTAAATCAAATAACCCAAATTCACAGAGACACCGATACCCTCAGATTTTAAAAACAAAAGTTGTAAGTTATTCGAAAGTACAAATGCTAGTTTATTTATTAGTTCATAGATTTCCATAATGCCACACCCTTTTCTCAGTTAAACCATGCCCAACATTTTATAAGCATCAACATTTTAGCTTATATGTCATTTGATCACTTAAATAAATGCAGATATGAAATGAATCCACAATTGATATTAAATAAGTCTATGTAAATCAGACGTTTTATTTAAAATACTGTTCCACAAGTTTAAAACGACAACAAGAAATTTTTAAATACAAACATCATTTTTATATAAGTTTCTTTGTGAATGTGTGAACCAGTAAACAGTAAATAATCAGTTGTGTCTGTGAAAGCTGTAGTAACAGCTAGCGAAAAACCCTTACTCTTGAAACCAGATAAAATAATCAGTTCTCATGTTTCCATCCAGTTTAACATCAATAAAACATATAAATCCCTGATAGACAGAGTATGTTATCAATCAAATCAAACGACAGTCTCCATATAATTAAATGTTATTTAGATAAAGAACACATAAAAAAACTGCATTTCTATTTTGTTACTGGTTACATTTATTGTATTTGATTTTTATTTATTTGAGTAGTTTACACATTCATTGTGAAATCCAAATACATTCATAATTTTTCTTTTTGAAACAAAAATGTGTACCCTTTAAAACAGAATTTTTATATCTGTATGAATGCCTCTGCGTGTGCTCATTAGATGTAGTTGGGTATTGATTGGTCTTGAACTGATAACTAGTAGTTATAGGGGCAACAGAGATGGCAGAAGAGGAGTTAAAGTAACACTAGTTTCTTGCTCCTCCGCCCCACTGGTTGAAAGTGGAATTAACAGTTGTAAACAACCCTGCAGCAGCCTTTTGTAGCTAGAGTTAATGAGCTAACACTAACATGAGCCAAATGATACTAAAATCAGCCACATAGTAAAAAGATCCACACTGTTGGTCTAAAAATATTATTATTCAAGTCCAGTGGCAACAATGCCAGGTCACCATCAGTCCGTGATCTCAGCTCCCTCATCTGAGTAGGCTGAGCTAATGTTCACTCTGGTTTTAGCTTTTTGCTTTGCCTCCAAAGACATTATTCACTTATTTTTACTTCCGGGCTCTCCCATGATGCCAACAAAAACATAAACAACTTCTTGTGCTTTTTTGGTTGACTGGCAAACGGAAAATGCTAACTGCTATCATAATAGCTAACAGCCATAAAGCAGGTAAGGAGCTTCCCCTATAGGGCACCTGCTTCACAAAACTGTCACGTGCTGTTCAAAGTGAAGTTGGAAAAGTTTTTAGTCACACAGTCACTTAAACCCACTTTTGAAGGAAGAACTTAAAGTGGGTGTCAAGGCTTGGGCGGGGACTTATTTCATCCACGCTTCCTGTTAGGAAATCACTTATGAAAGAGGTGTCACCTGGCAGACCGAGACAGCGGCACTGTCAAAAAACGAGTTATTAACAAGCATGTGCGCACTCATGCATGCACGCAAACACACACAGTAAACTTACCGCTTAGGAGAAATGCACACATATTCGGCAGCATCCTGGAGGATTTTGTGTTAACCGCAATCATTAGATGAAAAGGAGAGGAGGGCATTTTTTTCAAGGAAGCAAGCGCCTGCGAGCGCCAACGTTTCATATCGGCAGGTGAGTGGTTGAGCCAGGTGGGGGTGCGGCTGCCTCACCTGGAGACCGGTGCAGTGCAGCCACGTAGTAATTTGCTGATGCCACGTTTTTCAGCTTAGCCATCAACCACAGCTGAGTCTAAATAAATGAGGAGCAGAGTTTATTACCCGAAGATGGAGATATGATTACGGTTTTGAGCTGACATATTAAATTCAAAGTAAGTTGCACTAAACTACCACACTAATGATTACACACGTCTACAGCACCATTAGACACATGTCTATACAGGCCATGAGCTAAAAAAGTTAATTTAGGTTTTACAATTTCAAGTGTCAAAAACTGATTAGTTACTAAGTGCCCGCCCAGTAATCTGAGGGTTACAGGTTTGAACCCTGCTCAGTCTGTCACAGTTGTTGTGTCCTTGGGCAAGACATTTAACCCTCTTTACCTGCTGGTACTGGTTTGAAGGAAGCCTTGTATCAGTCAGTGAACTCCAGGGCTGCTGTGGCTACACTGTGTTTATTTCTGCTGCCGCAGCGCAGCCCTCTTAGTCCATAAGGCAACACCTCCTTTTAGAGCCTTTTTTCAAACAGGAAGTGCGGGTGGAGTAAGATGAAGATGATTTATTCAAAGACATAATTACTAGAATGAGTAAGGTTACCTGAAACATTCAACACTTCTGTAAAAACAACCTCTTACAGAAATTTGTAATGAAATGGAAAACAAATCAGCACCGGCGAATCTTATAAATAACTGCAACCGAAAACAAAAACTTTATCTGTTATGTTCCATTTGGTACTCTTGTAGCTTATTGTATGTAGGGTGGATTCTCATGCGTGTTTAAACATTATGTTACCCAAATCTTTCTCCACACACGCTCACATTCAAAGGCTTTTGTTCTGTGTGGACTCTCATGTGTTTGTTTAAATGTGTCTTTTGGCTAAATCTTTGTCCACAAAGCTCACAAGCAAAAGGTTTCTGTCCTGTGTGGACAGTAATGTGACAGTTTATATGTGCCTTTCGGCTAAATCTTTGGCCGCAGAACTCACAGGCAAAAGGTTTCTGTCTTGTGTGGACAGTCATGTGACTGTTTAAATGTGTCTTTCGACTAAATCTTTTTTCACAGAGCTCACATGCAAATGGTTTTTGTCCTGTGTGGACTCTTATGTGACTATTTAAATTAGCCCTTTGGCTAAATTTTTGTTCACAAAGCTCACAGGCAAAAGGTTTCTGCCCTGTGTGGACTGTCATGTGACTGTTTAAATGTGTCTTTTGGCTAAATCTTTGTCCACAGAACTCACAAGCAAAAGGTTTCTGTCCTGTGTGGACTCTCATGTGATTTTCTAAATGTGCCTTTTGCCTAAATCTTTGACCACAGAGCTCACATGCAAAAGGTTTCTGTCCCGTGTGGATTCTCATGTGTGTGTTTAAAATTCCCTGTTGGCTAAATCTTTGTCCACAGATCTCACAGACCAAGGGTTTCTGTCCAGTGTGGACTCTCATGTGAGTGTTTAAATGCGTTTTCCGGCTACATCTTAATCCACAGAGCTCACAGACAAAGGGTTTCTGTCCTGTGTGGATTCTCATATGTGTGTTTAAATTTGCCTTTTGGCAAAATCTTTGTCCACAGAGCTCACAGGCAAAAGGTTTCTGTCCTGTGTGAACTCTCATGTGAGTGTTTAAATGTGACTTTACGCTAAATCTTTGTTTGCAGAGCTCACAAGCAAAAGGCTTCTGTCCTACGTGGACTTTCATGTGTGTGTTTAAACTTGATATTTTACAAAATCTTTTTCCACATTCATCACAACTGAATGACTTTAGTTCTGTCTGGACCTTCCTGCATGAGTCGACATGTTTCTTTATTTTAAATTTTTTTTTATCAATGTAACAGCCTGGTGACCTTATTGCTGAGTGACTTGTCACACTCACGTGTTTCTGGAGAGACAACTTGTGGAGAAATTGTTTACCACACTCAGGGCAGCTAAAGGATTTGACACTCTTAATGTCTGACTCAGAAGACCTGCTCTCATTCCAGTCATCGTCTTCATCTCCAGTTTCAGCCCCAGAGTCCGACAGCTCAGAGTCTCGACTCACATCATCTTCACTAACTTCAGTGTCAGAAGAATCAAATGTCTGTTCATGAGGGATCAAATATGGGTTAGCACTAGTATCTGCACTTCCACCAGTTTCTGCCCTCACCTGATCAGCCGAGCTGCTGGTTAGAATATGTATGTTTTCTATTTGCTGCAGATAAAGCTGTGAGAACAGGGGTTTATCTTCATCACCCTCACTCTTTATAGAAACAGCAGTGCAAGGAAACCTGGCAGCTTCAGTCTCCTCCATCAAAGGGAGCTGTTCTCCCTCCAGACTGGTCCAGAATTCCTCCTGTTCCTCCTTAATGTGTTCTGGGTCCTGCTGGTCAACACCAGCACTCTGTTTTTCAAGAGCTTCTTCTTTAACCAGCATCATCTCTTGAACATCTGTAGGAAACACAGAAACACACATTGTGAATTACTAACCTTTGTAAATTTATATTCACACATATTCAAGAACACACTTTTTAATGCTTGATAATTTTTTATTTATTTAATCAAATATGATAAACACTCACTGGCCACTTTATAAGGTTTAACTGGTTCAATAGCTTCTTTTTGTGTTTTACAGAAATAGGATAATTAGACAATCACATGGAAGAAATTCAGTGTAACTCAGTAACTCATCTAGACAAATTGAAGGTGACTTAAGTTTACCCCAGTAAACAGTCTTGATTGTGGGCTTCATTGTATCATGGGGCTGGGGGCTGTTGACTAGAGCTATGAGGCTAAATAAAGACCTGGGAACTCTCTTCTTATGAATTCTGCAATGGCAAATCTGCAAAACAAGCTAGCTTTTAAACACAAATACAGTCCTGGAACTTTCTGTCGGCTATCATCACTAGACCATGCCCGCCTGATACCGGAACATGCATTGCCAGAGTAAATGAGAGAGCACAAATCACCAGTTGCTATTTTCTAGGTCCAAATGTCTTTTGTTTTTTGTGATTTCAAATGGATTTTTGCAGGGACTTTGGTAGTTTGCCCCAAATTTCAGGAGGCAGGAGCCGTCTGTTTGTCCTTCATTATTGTGCAAAGAACCTCTCACATCACTGGTGTTTCGCTGCAAAATGCACAAACGCACAATGAGTGGAGGACCCGGTTAAATGCAGAAGTGCGACGGTTCAGTGAGAAACAACCAGATAGAGAAATTGTTGGTCTCGGACCGAGCCATGTTATTGGCTGAGGTATTTGGACAAAACCACTTCATTAAATCTTTTACATTTTATTTTTTTATCTCCACAATTTACAGCCATGGCCAAAATTGTTGATACCCTTCGGCCAATGAAAGAAAACCATGAAGAAAACGCACAATGGTCACAGAAATAACTTGTATCTGACAAAAGTGATAATAAATAAAAATTTTATGAAATTTAACCAATGAAAGTCAGACATTGCTTTTCAACCATGCTTCAGCAGAATTATTTAAAAAAAAAAAAAGCTCAACAACACTGAGGTCAGGGTTCATAGAAGGCCACTTTAGAATAGTCCAATGAGCTTCTCTTGGCCATTCTTGGGTGTTTGTGGTTGTGTTTTGGGTCATTGTCCTGTCGCCCATGACCTGTGACCCATGACTTGTGACTGAGACCAAGCTTTCTGACCCTCATCAGCACATTTCTCTCTAGAATCCCTTAATAGCCTTGAGATTTCATTGTACCCTGCACAGATTCAAGCTACCTTGTGATAGATGCAGCAAAGCAGCCCCAGAACATAACAGAGCCTCCACCGTGTTTCACAGAAGAAACAGTGTTCTGGTCTTGATACGTTTCATTTTTCCATCGGTGAACATAGAGCTGATGGGCCTTGGCAAAAAGTTAAATCTTTGTCTCATCTGTCTGTAGGACATTCTCCCAGAAGCTTTGTGACTTGTCAACATGTAGTGTGGCATATTCCTGTCTGGCTTTGTATGATTTGTTTTTCAACAATGGTGTCCTCAGGGCTTAATTTGAGCCGGATATTGCCAGAACAATTTTATTTTGAAAGGACCGTTCTGGCAACTGTCTGCTAGGATCCGGCAACTCACGCGACTAACTTGTGCTATACGCAGGATTCGAATTACAGGTGAGCTAAAGGGAGCTCCTGGAAGCCCTCAACTTCCACACCCAGGAAGAGCCCAAAAACGATCCTGGTGCTACTTATATCACACTATTTATGTGGACTCTCCAGGGATTATTTGGAGCTGAGAGGCGCAGAGCTCTGATTGTTGATGCGCTCCAGACAGATGCGTCCTGAGCACGGCCACAGTAACATTCTCAAAGTGTTGTCACCTCAAAAACAAAGTTAACACACAATCGTTTATGTCGGCTCAAATTCTTTTAAGCTTTCTGTCTTTTATTTGTGCCTGATGCATTACGCTGCTGCGGAGCGCATAACCTGTTTCGTCCTCTGGTGACTTCACCACACCGGTGCGGTCTGCACGCACTCCGCTATATTTGCGGTCAGTAGATCTTTTTGAACCGCAGTTCAAAGATAATTCATGATTATTAATTCAAAATACATGAAACCAGGTAGCAGTTTTTCTTTGAGAGGAGATGCAGGAAGATAACAGAGACAGGACAGAAAAATAGTCAAATAAAAACAAGTTTGTTTTTTACCTGGTGGTTGCAACAAACATTGAAAGTAATCAGAAGTGAGGAACAGAAAATGAAATTATTCTTTCAATGTTTAGATCAGCAGGAACTCTGAGAGACTGCAGGCGCACCAGTGAGTTTGCAGCCGCTGTGCAGGGGGAGAGGGCTGAAGCAGGGGAACAGTAAAGATGCAAAAACTACCACTGTTGAAAGAAATCTATGGTAACTTTGAAAATGTGGGGGCAACTTTAATTACTTGTCAACCATTTGTTAGCCATTTAGCTAGCTGAGCAAGGATACAACCGTAGGTGTCTTGTAGCCTAGTTTTGGTCAAAAATTTCCCAGAATGCACCGCTGTATTTTCAAAAGGATGGCGGATCAGAAGCCGGCAGCTACTTCGGGGGCAAATTTCAAGTTTAAAAGTAAGTCAACTAATTTCAAATGTTTTTTTTTTAGATCCAAAGACGTTATCTATGGTTGGTTAGTTGCTTAGTAGTTGCAGCTTCGGTGGCTAGTAGGTAGTAAGTCACTTATATATTACATTTAACAAATATAGACACAATTTCAAAAATAAAAGGCTTGTTATATGTTTATATTGAAATGTATACGTATAAAATAAAATGGTATCTCCCGTGTCATGTGACGTTACGTGATCGCGGCTTCAGCGGCGGTCACGTTTTCTTTGACCAAGGAAGAACAGTGTCCTCATAAGCAAGGCGCCTGGCCTCGCAAGACATCGCCTCGCTGCGAGGCCAGGTGCCTTGACATTGACAAAGACTCCAGGTCTGTTTCATGAGTTTATTTTTTTTTTATCTGTTGAAGCATGGTTAAAAAGCAATGTCTCACTCATTGGTTACATTTCATCAAATTTTTATTTCACATTTGTCAGATTCAAGTTAGTCCTGTGACCATTGTGAGTTTTTCTTTCATTGACCAAAGGGTACTGACACTTTTGTCTATGTCTGTTTTTATAGCTATACAATCAATGTTAGATTGTTGTTAGGAGGTTTAAATATGTTTTAAGCAATTTTTTTTTTCAAATTTGCCATAGTAGCTTTAAACAAAGAACTGCCTAACTTGCTAGGGTCGAAATTCCACTCACCCCTTAAAATACTGACTTGTCCTTTATTTGGTTGTTAAATTTTGTGTCCCGCATTGAACCAAAACCTCTCACACACATGTGAAAACCTCTCATACACACATGGGAAAAACTCACACACACACACACACACACACACACACACACACACACACACACACACACACACACACACACACACACACACACACACACACACACACACACACACACACACACACACATACACACACACACACACACACACACACACACACACACACACACACATTCGTGGAGCACTACCTGTTTTCATGCTGTCCAGATCCATATGGAACCGATGTGTGGTTCGAGTGAAGTACACTGATCAGTCACAGCTGATCCTGAAGTTGGGGCACCTTTTATTCAGCCGTGTTTTGCTGGCAGCTTCAATAGAAACAAAGCACAAGAGCTGATTAAGATTTGCTGCTTTAGAATGACATATGATTAAAGATGCAACGGTTTTGGTCAGCTAAAATGTATTTAGACAGAACTTTTGGTTCACATCGCTCAGCTGCAAGTCCCAGCCATTTAAACCAAAAGGGTTCAATTGAAGGCAATTTGACTTCTTTGGTTTCTTGAAGACATTTTGCTTCTCATCCGAGGAGCTTTGTCAATTCCTGGATGACTGAGAACCTTCACCAGCATCCCAGCCATTTACATTCTGCTGCTTCTGAGACCAGTGCCAAGTGCTGCCTGCAACCGTTTTGTTTGACCAGCATGGGGAATTGTGCCATGTTCATCGATCTCCAGTAACTAGAAAATAAAAGAAAAAATCAGGAGGCTCATGTATAAAGAATCCCCTCAGATTTCCTGGAGACTGAGATTGTGTCAGTAGCTGAAACTGAGATGTTATCAGGAGAAACTGTCGTTAATTAGACTTTCTAAAACAGCATCGTGGATAGAAGGAATAAAATAAATGAAATCAACAACTTCTAAACAGATGAGATGTTATTTGTTTTTGGGAAGATTGGAGTTCTGCCTATCTAAAAATAAAATAGTACTAGTTTAAAAGTATTACAGCACACCCAAAATAAAATTACATATAGATATTTAGCTGGGCCTATTTAAAATGAGTAACAGTGCTATCTTAAATGTGTTTCTAAAACCTGTAAATACTCTGCAATCTTTTTCCACACAGTAATATGAATTTTACTTTTTAACTCTCAAAATGTGTCTAATATTAATAATAATACGTCTAATGTTGAGATTTTTTAATCTTTTAGAGACTTTCGGTTATGTTTTTCTTTTTGTTTAATCTATTGTATTCTAACCTTAACCCTATCAACCAAAGCAGTTGTTATAACGGATATAATATATCCGGTAACAACATAGGTGACCGGTAATTTGAAATTAGGATCATTTATATTATTGCTGTAAGAGATGCGATTGTTAAAAGCGTAAACTAATCAAGCTACGTGGTCAATGGCAGAAACGACTACGACAGATGAAAACAAATGTCACTGGTATTTGGAGAAGAAATTAATTTAAGTCTACTATTAACCTCTGTAGCGTTTCACGGTCATCGACAATATTCTTCTGGTTTCTTCTTTTTCTTCTCGTGTGTTTACCGAGCTGCGATCTTCTTCGTGGTCATGGACGTTTAGTTTGGCTCCCTCACGTCGTTGTAGCGCCTCTACCGTCACCAGCTGGGACTACATAATAATAATAATAATAATAATAATAATAATAATAATAATAATAACAATAATAATAATATAATAATAACAATAATAATAGTAAATACACAGCAGAAAAATACCGAGGTCTGGGCCTTGGAATGTCAGACATATATTGTAAAGAAAGTGTAAAACAGTAAAACCAGCAGCACTTTAAATTTCTGAATTCCAACTCTGTTTTGAATGTGATGCAATATTGAAGTTTCATTTAAATTAATTTATCATCTCTTGAGACTCGTTTTGATATAAACATCTCAGTGTGATGTTTTCTGTTATAATAATCTGTTATAATAATGATCCATAAGCTGTTTTTCTTTAAACTTTAGGGATGGATTTGGGGATTGTGCAGCACTTGATCCCCTTTCACGAGATGTTTATAACCTGGTTAAAAATGAAGTTAAAGCCTAAAATGGCCACCCTACCCTCCACATCATCACCATCACCACCAGCATCAGCCGCAGCATCTTAGAAGTCCGCCCCCTAGCGTCCGTCCTGGGAACGCCTCCTGTCTGTGTGCGCAAGGGCGGAGAAACGGCCGCGGTACGCTCTTTATTATTCTATGAGTAATTTCATTTTTTTACAAAAATGGCGTCCGTTCAGGGAGGTGTGGGTGCTGTCACTTCTCCACAAAGCCAGGAGTACCCCGGCGGACCCCACTGGAGCCCGGCCATCAGCCAGTACCAGCAGCAGCAGCAGCACCACACCGCCCGCAGCCTGGACCGGGCTCTGGAGGATGCAGTCAGCTCGGGGATCCTGAACCTGAGCGGCAGGAAGCTGAGGGAGTACCCGGGGCTGAGCTACGACCTGACCGATACCACACAAGCAGGTGGGTCGAAATGACCGTGAATCAGATATGCGGGGCTCGTGCACGCAGCGCGCTCGCATGGTGCGTGGATTCTGTATTTTATCTCATTATGTGTGAGGGGCGCAACGTGTGACATTTACGAGGATCGGGCGTCCTCTCCTCCGCACCGACTCCTGTTAAAACACAGCATCCTGGCTGTGATTGTGGGTCACACCCGGCACCAGTGGTTCAGTTCGACTGTTTATTGGGGCGAAGCCCGCAGCTTTCAGGGGCTCCCCTGGAGACTCATGAATGAGACAGCAGGCGCACCCACTCAGCCAGAGATTCATTTGATTTGGCAACCTGAGAGAGCTGAGGCTCAATGAATGAAATATTTGTATAAAAAAGAAAAAAACAACAACATTTAAACAAACTACCTTCTTTCTGGAAACTATTTTCACCATGCATCGTGTAATAAACCGTTTTTATGACTCTTCAGACAAAAGCTCCCAGTCTGAAGAACAGGGTGTAATGTGCAGAAGCTGCTAAGCTCTTCTTTGGATTTGTTAGAATGCATCTCTCTGCAGCAGGTGACCTTATACTGCAGCCAGTCAATAGGTCAGTCACGTCCTCTTAAGGAGGCCTTATCAGGGTCAGGTCATACACACTAAGTTTTATTAAGGGTGCTGGTGTAGCAGGGGGCTTATGACACTAAAGCTTGCTGCAAGACACATGAAAGTGGGTTTGATAATAGATTATTAAAGGCCTTGTGTTCCTCAGAGGAAGTTTTACATCATCTAATGCTGAGAGGCGATGATGGGATGAAAATCACTGTGTGGTTTTAAGATCAGGCGACTTTAGTGGCTTCTATGACTCCAGCATTATTAACATTAATTATTATTACCAAGATGAGAGTGACTGCCTCCTCCTCCACAGTGTCCACATGGCAGCCCTTTAAAGAGTCTCTGACGGGTCTAGCCTGGAGCCCGGACTCATTTACTCCCCCCTTTCTACTGAAAATGACTGATGATTCAAGCACACGTTCACCATCAGGCAGAAAGGATGTCCCCAGAAATAATAATGTGCCTCCATTCCCTCAAGACTAATCCTGGCTTGAGTGGCGGTCGTGTCATTCAGAGGATTTTTGTGATAAAAATACACACTTAAGACTAAAATAAACATTTTACTGTCTAGATTGTTCTTCCTTGAGGCCACAGCTGTGATCAGGCAGCGATTTCCTGTTGGTGGAAAAGCTGCTGTGTTTTCACTTTCTGTTCTCGTCTCTGTGTTTTAGTAAATAGAACAATGGTTGCACTGGTTAAAGGGAAGTCACTCTTAGAGATCCTCGCCTCACAGACCGAACTGAATTGGACAGGTTTCACATTTCTTTAATGTTCCTGGACATCAGTGAACTCCCTTCAGCCTTTGGAGTTGGTTTCATTTCCTCCTTAAAGGCAGACAGGCCGTCTAACTTGTGTGTGTGTGTGTGGTTGCTGTGTGTTTTTGGCAGTTTGTCTTCGTTTCCTCACAAGTAAACGCTCAAACCCACAGTCCTGTTGCTCGAGTCAGAGGAACGACTCGGTGGAGGTGTTCTGGTTAATATCCCAGCATGCCCCAGCTTGCCATACCTTCCCCAGTGGAAACACACCCCTCAGACTGAGCTGCTGCTGGTGTGTTAACACTCACAGGTGTTGTTCACCTGTAGAGAAAAGCGGAGAGTAGCTGCATAAAACCCCATGATTCTGGTTTGTTTAAGATTTTATTCTCATCTATTTGTATACAACTATAAACGGGACTGATCAGATTCTGAAATTGAGCCAAAATCTCCAAACTTCTCATAATAAACATTTTAGAATGAAACTTTTAATTTGTGGTAAAAATGAATGCGGGGAAAAACGACGGCGCTTGCTGTAGGAGTTTGCAGCCAAACGGATTAGCCTCGAGCATGTTTAAACAGGTGAAACAGAGCACATAAATGATGCACTTTTACTTGCTGAGACTTGATTAAAGCACATTTCACACTACGCTGTCATCACATTCCTCAGAAGTTTTAACGCTCGTCAGTCTCTCCACAAGGACGAGACTGGAGCTGGGATGGTTTGTTTTGTTAAGGACCAGCGGAAATACGGAGAGCACCACTGTGCATTTACCGGCATGAAGACGCCCGACTCACGTCGCAGGGCTCCTTTGAAAATAAGACAGAGTTTCACATACATTTTTAGCCTTTTCAAATAAGTTTTATTTCAAAGTTTATTCTAAAGAACATGAATTACATAAGCGTTACACTTGTTTTGAGAAAGCGTGGAGATCAGAAAAAGCACTTTTTTAAAACTGCAGGAACAAAAAAAGCTGACATGTTTTTATTCTTCAGTACATTGTCCTGTTTGCTCGTAGCCGAGTGATGCAGAGCAGCAGAGATCTACAAAAAGCAAGTTTTACATATAGTTCAATAACCAGATCCCTACCGTGTTTTTGTCTTGTAACTAGTTTTGTGCAAGTGCAGTGAATTGATTGTTGTGAATTTATTGTGATGAGGCTTTTCTCCATTGATGTTTCTGCATGTTTGAGCAAAACTGAATCGAGCTGAACTTTATTACCAACTAGACGCATCATGGCAAACAGTCATTTATAAAAAATACATAGGAATAAAATGGGTTGGTGGCAAAAACAGAAACGTTAATAGTATTTTCAACATGACATGTTTATGAACAGACTAGAGCGACTAGAGTGGCACAATAGGTGAACTAATTCACCAGTCCAAGGAGTTGAGAAGGACAGAAGTTGTTCTGTTGGTGAATCCAGTAGCAGAGGGACATCTGTGTCTCTGGTTATGGTTCTGATTAGAGGCCGACTGATATGTTTTTTTTAAGCCAATACCAATTTTTAAAGAACATTGTTGCTTATGGCTGATATTGAAAGGGGATTATTATGGCCTATATATATTTATATATTTGCGTCAATAGAAGAGATCGGTAACTGATTAAGTTTGAGTTCATGACACGGTAGCTGTATCAAAGATGGCATCAAAGACCTCTAAACCAGAGATGGAGTCACCATGGTGAGTGTGTCTTGCTCGTTTTGTTTCCTCCACCTACTGGTTACTGGTATATTGTAGCGTTCGGACACGTTGCGTTAATTTCGGGGGACGCGCACAAACGGCGCAAGTAATGCGTGGCAGCTATTTTAAACATGCGTTCGCATCGTCAAACAGCAAGTATATCAAGGCCCTAAGTTATGCCTCTCCATCCCAGTAGGTACGGAGACCTCAACGTCATCATCCATCATCGCAAGGGCTCTCCAACTGGCACACAAGGACAGACAGAGTAGAGCCCACTTTTCTAAATATCTATTGAATGCAATGGAGACCAGAAGCCTGTGATTAACACCGCCTCCTTTAACTTTGTCAACAGCACCGCCACTCCCCCATAAAAATAAAATGAGAGCCGAACATATCTAGCGACAGACATGGAGCAGATTGAAAAACGTTTTGCAGAAAAGTCAGACAATATAAACATTAATGCCCATGGCTGAAGGAGAACAAAGATACACAGCAAACATTTGATTTGTGACAGGAAACGTGAGTTGGGATCATCGACATATATACCATTGGGATGGTGACAACATGGAGGAGTGGAGGACAAATTTGTTTGTGTTAAAAGTCTCTGAAATACATAAACACAATATAAACACACTAGAGAGGTGACTGCAATGATGGCAGGATACCCCAGAGAAGCGCTACGCCCTCTGCTGTCCTGGCGGAGAACTGCTTTGCAACACTGACGTACCAGCGGAGAAGTATAAAAGGAAGACTTCTCCGTCAGTACGTGTGTGTGTGTGTGTGTGTGTGTGTGTGAGCGTAAACTTGCTGACAGAAATGTGTAAACCATAGGGCTGGGGGTAAACGATTATTTTTAAAACGATTATTCTGACGATTATTTTATCGAATAGTCGACTATTCTAATGACTATTTAGAAAATTAATCTAATGATTATTTTTCTATTGCACAATTAACAAAAACCAGAAAATCTCAAATAAATTCCTCAAAAAAAATTGATAAATTCTTACTGTAAGAGAATAAACACTACAGGCCTTCCATTTTGTATAACACTGCGTTTATTGTGTTGGTTGGTTATGTTCTGATGACGTGTAGAACTTGGGAGTGCAGGCTGCTGCCTGAGAGGTGGTAGAAGATGGAGTGTCTCCATGCTGCTTTGTTTTGGTCACTTATGTGCGTGAGGCGAGTGGTCTTACGGGTTAAACCAAACTCAGGTGATATTTTACACTAAACCGAAAACCCACAACACTCTAAATGTAATAAAAGGGAGATCTACACCACAAAAAAGATGAACTCTAAACCAAAACGTAACAGCTTATCCCAACGCAAGAAGCTGTTAGCGAAGATGCTAACAGTAGCTTTACCAACATTAAGTTCAAGTTACCAAGTTTAAATAAACCAAAAACACCCAGCAGCAAACAGACCAGCACGGAGGAGAGACTGCTACCACCAAAACAGCTCTCCTCATGTCTGAAAGAAGCTCCTTTATTAAGGGAGAAGCGCTCCTGGTGATTTTCTACATCTGCGATAGACACGAAGCAGCGCATCTGACCCCGGAAGTTGTTGTCCGTTGCCGGGAGACGAAGGGGCAAAACAGGAAAATAATCTAGTAGTGGACGGACGTTGTTCCGGGTCTTCGGTATTTGGCGGAGATGTTAGTGAAGGCGGAGAAGAGGGCGAACTAGAGGAAAAACAGGCAGATTCCTCCTCTATTTACAAACTCCTGGGGATGCAACAAGTGGGCGCGGTGCGTCGACTTCCGGATCCGACGTCGACAAATTTTTAGAATCGAGCCGTCGACTTCGTCGAGGCTTCGCTACAGCCCTAGTAAACCAGCCTTTACAGCTCTGCAGTACTGTTAGACATATGCTCCATTTCTCCAAACAGAGGCTGTTCAGGAAGATTTATATTAGATAAGATTTCAATAATTAATCATTTTTCCAAATAAACAGATGGGAAAATAGGAAAAGGTTCTATAATGCTGGAT